AAGTCAGGAAGGACGGGAAGTTTGGGGAGTTGAAAGCTGCAGACGGTATTCCAAGCTATGGGGCTATGTGAAGTCACAGCAGTGGCTGCAGAACAAAACACAAGAACTAAAGCCTTAGCCTTAGGAGCCCGCAAAGGGGACTGAGAAGTAACAGCCATTGAGGCAGGAGAGCAATGATGGTGCTGGCGTGTTGACAACAGACTGGGCATCTGAGAGCTCAATTCATAGATCCGAGGTACCTGGCACTCAGTAACTGAGGCTACAGCAAGCTAAGATACAGAATTCATTTTCCTGGCTTGTATGGCGTCTGCAGCTAGGTAAACTTTGGGCAGAGGCCACTACACCCAGCAGGGTTCAGTGCAGTTTTCTAGAAAAGTAAAAAATTTAAATTACTAAAGTTTTACTTTACATCCTCTGAAAGAGTGATTTAAATTAGAGTACAACTTTTCAACCAGAGTGCTACTGACATGACAGGCCAGAAAAATCAGCATAGATAGATATGCTATACACTATGAGTATTTTTTCCCAGCAACCCTGGTATCTCTCCCTTTCAGAAGCCAAACAGCACATACCCTCACTTCCCCATTATGAAAACCAAAATTATCTCCAGAAATTACATAATCACATGCAGTTAGAATCACTAAGTTGGTACTACTGCCAACAAAAGCCAACTCCAAAGTTATACATCAAGCACTTTTGCTGCCAACTAATCCCCACTAACTTCAGTAGGTTCACGGTATGTGAATGCATCCTACTCTTCTCCAGAATGCTACATGCCACCAACAAAGCTTGGCGGATACTAATTGTATGCAGTATTCAGAATAGTGAAAGCAAGCGGTTAGCTCAACTTATCAACACACATGCATGCACACACACATACACACACCTTAAATTTTGTTTGAAAAATACCATAATGAAACCTAATTCTTCAAAAGCTATTTTTTAAAAAGCATTATCTGGTTTCGTTTTTTGTTTGTTTTCAGTGTAAAAGACTATCAGGTCTACCTTTTTTGCATGCGCATATTTGTATCATTTCAGCACTATCCATAACAGGCAAGAGGTGGGAGCAGCCTGAGTCTTCAGCCAATGAGCAGGCAAATAGAATGCGGCACAGTGGAATGTCTTCAGTCTCAAAAGGAAGAGGCTCTCATCTCACTGTAGCATGGATAAATGCTGAGCACACTATACTAAGTGAAATAAGCCCGTCATCAGAGACAACACTGAGGGCTGGAAAGACGCTCAGAAGTTAAGAGCACTGGCTGCTCCTGGGAACGAGCAGGACTAGGTTCCCAGTACTCACAGGGTGGCTCACAAATGTCTGTAATCCCAGTTCTGAGGGATTCAATACTGCCTTCTGGCCTCCAAGGGCACCACACACATGTGATGTGCTTACATACATACATGCAAGCCAAACACCCACACACATGAGAAAAAAGAGCCAAATGCTGTATGACTCTGCTCTTGTGCGGTATGCAGAATAGCAGAATCCATAAGACGGAGAGCAAATGGTGGCCGCCAGAGCCTGAAGGGAAGGGAAAATGGGGCCTTGCCAATGGATTTAAGAGTTCCAGTCTCACAAAATCAAAGGTTGTGGAGACCGGTTGCCCAATAGTACGAACCTACTCCATATTAATGAACTGCATATATAGAGATGGCAAATTACATGTTACATATGTACTTTTTAACCTCAGCTAGTGAGAAAAAAAAACGTGTTGGCGCCACAGTCAGATCATCTGGATTTTAACACCAGCAGGTTGCCCAGAGAGGCACCTGGCTGGAGTAGTGCTACTGTAAGCATCAACAGCCAGTTTTAAACCAGAGCTATCCAACCAGCAGCCCATGAGCTGTATGGACTCCAGGATGGCTATAAATATAGCCTGGCACAAATATCATGCACTTACTTACAACATTTACGAGATTTTTTGTTTTGTTTTGTTTTGTTTTTCGAGACAGGGTTTCTCTGTGTAGCTCTGGCACGCGTCCTGGAACTCACTCTGTAGACCAGGCTGGCCTCGAACTCACAGAGATCTGCCTGCCTCTGCCTCCCAAGTGCTGGGATTAAAGGTGCGCCACCACCGCCCGACTACATCACGAGGTGTTTGATGATGTCTTTGTAACCTGAATACACAGTACTTGAGTATGAACTCTGTAACTCTCCAAGTTGCACTGCATCATCACACAAAGTATATGTGCTCTTCTTCTTTGGGTGGATGACAACACTCGAGCCACAAACATGGCTGACTGGATCAATGATGATGTCGCTGAGGAGATGGCTTCCTAGTGCCATTAAGAGGCACAGTTAAATAAATGTACACAAAGCAGTAAAAAGTTATGTTAAAGTGATTTTCTTTGTCTACTGTCAGCATGTCTGGTTAATTACTTGGGGAGCCCTGGAGATGGTAGGCAAAAATCAAGGTCTCATAAAATTAATATTAGATGATGCAATCATTGCCCCAAACTTACATTCAATGAAGTTTCACTGCAGAGTACATCAAAAAAACGTATGGCCAAAAGCATTAAAAATGGGCAACATCTGCCAGGCTGTGGTGGTGCATACCTTTAATCCAAGCACTCAGGAGGCAGAGGCAGGTGCATCTCTGAGTTCGAGGCCAGCCTGGTCTACAGAGCAAGTTCCAGGATAACCAGGGCTACACAGAGAAGCCCTGTCTCAAAAATCTAAAAACAAAACAAAACAAAAAAAAAAATGGGTAACATCATACAAATTGTTATCAAGACTGTGAAATAAGGGACATGAGATTAAATCATCATCAATTACAGGAATTCCTTAAAACTGTCCATCCAGGTTCTTTTTAACAAAAGAAACAAAGAAAACAAAAGTCTAGGCAACATCACTACTTTTCAGGAATAAGATGGCTAAGTCAAGGTCAAATATTAAAAAGACTTCATTATTCTCAACACATTGCTTGTAGTTATCAAAACAAAAGTTATGCCAGAACTTGACAACAAAATCCAACTTATAAACTTAGCATTTTTAGTGGATTTAACCACTCACTTAAATGAGCTAAACATGTTTCTTTGAGGTAAAAAACAATGTTTCAAGCTGCAAATATGGCAAGCTCAGATTAAGGCAGACAATTTCACGCATCTTGACACACTGGCTAAATACTGTCCTGTGAACAAAATATGCCGTCTTGATTCTCAATTTGACACAGAATTTAAAAACAGATTTCAGGATTTCCATGAAAACAGTATTTTGGTACATTCATGACTCCATTTTCAGGTGACACAAACCTATGTTACCTGCCAATTTACAAATGGAATGCATAAAGCTGCAGTCTAACATTCAACTTAAAGAAAAAACTGTAGCAGCCAGGCGGTGGTGGCGCACGCCTTTAATCCCAGCACTCGGGAGGCAGAGCCAGGCGGATCTCTGTGAGTTCGAGGCCAGCCTGGGCTACAGAGCGAGTTCCTGGAAAGGCGCAAAAGCTACACAGAGAAACCCTGTCTCGAAAAACCAAAAAAAAAAAAAAAAAAAAACTGTAATCACGTGCTTTCCCAGACTTTTTTCAGGTCCTAGCTTTAGAGAGATAAACAACATGAATTATTCATGTCATTTTTGGCAGCACCTAGATTTGTGGGCAACTACTTTACAATTTTTTTAGATTTATTTATTGTATGTGTATGCATGTTTGACCTGCCTGTATGTAAGCGTGCCATGTGTGTGCCTGGTGCCCGAGCAGGTCAGAGGAGGGAGGTTCCCCTGGAATTGGAGTTCCCAATGGTTGCTAGGACCAAACTCCAGTCCTCGGCAAGGGCAAAGTGTTCCTAACTGTTGCGCCACTATTTTCAACAAAGCACACTGAGCGTAAAATCGGAACCAGACTGTCTGATAAGCCCTTGAGAGCCTCCTGAGAACCAGAACTGTTTCCATCAAACCAGATACTGATGCGCTCACTCGGGTTTCAATGCAATGTCAAATGACCCAATGTCAAAAGGTCTGTTACTTTTATAACTCTATATTACATTTATGATTTTTTTTTTTAAATCAACAGTTTGTTACTTAGATATGTTCATTTTCTTTACTAGTGGTCACAAACGGGGCCTGTTCAATGACCTTAAAAGACCCTCTGGAGGCATTGCATGGTCAGGATCACTATGTGCGGGCCTTTTTGCTTTGCTTCTCTGTAGTAGCAAATGTCACACAAACTGTGCAAACTTGTTCTCATGAGCTTTCATTATTGCTTGTGGCACATTTAATGTATGGCACAGTTCTTCCCCATCTCGTGTGACTGAGGAAGGTCGGCGGCTTCCCCTAGTCTAAGTGTAAAGACCTTCCTGAGTCTGTTGGTTAGGCACGTTCTTTTCAGTGCAGCTTCCTTTTGAACAGGCAAGGGATGGACGCAACCCAGGTTTTCAGCAGATGAATTATTCAAGTCGGTGCGCACGTACTGGTGCCATGACCGGAGACATGAGAGCAAATGTAAAGTGTGACAGAGAGAGAAGAGGCCGTCTCTCAGAAAACCACTCCACCAACTGAGTATCATTACGTGTAATGAAGGAACCTCCCCTTAGACACAGGACCTCTCCTGCACATTTATAAAGTGACAAAGTTGTTCATGTGGGCAGGAGAGATGACTTCATCAGTAAAGTGTCCAGGCGCGAGGGTCTGAGTCTGACTCCCAGAACCCCTGTAAGAAAACCCAAGTGGCAGCACACCTTCCTAATCCCAATACTGGGAAGACAGACAGCAGGACCCCCGGGCTCAGCGGCAGTTAGCACAGCCTATTTAGTGAGCTCAGGATCAATGAGAGACCCATCTCAAAACAAAGATCGACAGCTCCCGACACCTGAAGTTGGCCTCTGCCCTCCACATGTGCCCACAGACACGTGCACCTGCATACACACATACAGAAAATAGATTTCTGTATATAAATGTGTGTATATAAATCTAGACATTTTCTCCTTAAATGATCAATAATCCACTGTATTTATTGGAAGAAAACCCCAAGCCAAGAAGCGAAGGTTTTCTGAGGTCTGACCTGCATGGGATTAATCTTCACTGAGCGTTCAAAGCACTCCACACATTCCCGAAACTCCTTGTTCCGAAGATGGAGGAGGGCTTTGGAGCGCTGGGCACGCGCACTTCGGTGTTGCGACAGCTCCCAGGCCTTGTCATAGCAGGAGTGGTCTTGCAGGACATCTCCAAGCAAACAATACAAGCTTGGCGTTTCCTTTTTCTCCAGTTCTCGCCGAAGGATCTCTTCTGCCTGGGAACAACAACAAAAATAGCAAAATCACTTGATTGCGACTAACTGCTACTTTTAGCACATGCACAACTTTTATCTCATAGTCTCTGTATTTTCAATTATTTGCTCATTTCATGGCTCGAGAGCACAGGCTGCCTGAGAAAGGGAAAACAAATACGGCCCCAGTGAAAAGGAACCAGGAGAGCAGGGCCTGCTCTAAGGTCCTGGGATCCCCAGGCACTGGGAAGCCGCCTGCCTGTTGGGAGGTTCATTCTACCACTCTATGACTTCCCTGGTTTGCTCGGCCCCACTGCTGCTGTTGGAAAAGTGTCCTTACCTCCCCTGGACCACAGCATTATTGGTTTATAAGTGTTCTGTATTTAAGTTGTCAAAGAGGGGGCACAGGCAGTCCCAAAGGAGACAATACACGAAGTAGAAAGGACAGAGAACTGAGGTAGAAGCCCGGTTATAAGGAGGCAGAGAGAGCAGGCATTAGTTACTGGATGGGCTCCAAAAAGCTGGCAGTTCTTTAGAACCAAAGGTCTTGGAGTCCTAATGGTAAGCTCCGAGGCTTGGAGCTGGAACTGTCAACGGCTAAGGAATCCTGACTCCTACACAAGAGCTGCAGAGCCAGGGGGCCTGATCCTCAAGGCTTCACCTGGAGCCATTAACTCCAGAAGGTACAACCTGCTGCTGCTCACACTTGTCTACCTGATCATTGCTGGTAAATGCTCAACAGTACAACAGTTGCTGAAGACCATCACTTAACCAAGTTCTCCTTGTTTACCCATGACTTCTGTCCAGGTGGAGCAAAAGGTACCCAGCCTGAGTGGTAACACCAACACCAGGCAGGCACATGTGGTTCCAGACAGTCAGCCCACTGGTTTCGGAACTTAAAGGTTGACGTCCATAATGCAAGGCTACCTGATCACGTAAGCTAATTCTGTGCTTATTACTACTATACATCCTCAACTTACCTCACCCATGTCTGCCGTCCTGTTTCTGATAAATCGGCAAGCTCAAAGTCTGTATATTAGATTTAATTTAAGTTAGACGTATCTGTAATTACTAAGCTGTCTAATTTTGTGAACTCTTTTACACAAGGGATGCACTTCTGAAAGTGTCTTAGGATGCTGGCACTTTTGCATTTGTGATATAGTACAGGTAATTTATAGACTGTCAAGCCTACTCTGGACATGGAATCAAAATTTATTAAGTAGTTTCCAAGGGAAAATAATTCTAAGTCCCTGAAAGCCAAAACAAACATGAAGTTTTATAATTCAATGTTTTAGAATATAAGTCCTCTATTCACAAATAATATATTAGTTAATAATGTATCTGACCAAAATTCTGTGACCCATAAAGATAAACATTTAACCAAAATTTCGTATGATAGTGGCCGCTCCATCTTTGGTGAAATAAGCTTATAGTGTAGTTCAAAGCATTTCTCTTGACAGGACGGCATTTAAACTTTGTGCCACACCATTCCAGAAATTCCAAAGCTGACTCACTTAAAATTCCTTTCCGTTCTACCCTGTTATATTGGAGTCTGTGGTCTGCAATAAACATCATATTCACTCAGTATAGATGTGATTGTAGGCACTGTCTCCCTGGAAATCTATGACCACATCTCATCTGTTGAGTTGGAAGATGCCATGATTGTGAAGGGTACAAACACTGGCAGTCCATGATGCCCGGTGAAGAAAGAATTCTGGAATTGCCACCTTGGAGCCTCAGACTAAATCACCTACAAGCACAGACACTATGAAGGAACACTAGTGAGAGGTAGGTCAGCTGCTTCCAAATTCACTAGACAGTGGAAGGAAAGAAAATAGCCCTGGTGTTCTCATCCTCGAGGTGGAGAACCAGGGCATTTCTGATGACCTCGGAGGGCCTGTCGTCCTTGTCGCTGTCCGGCTGGTACCTCCTGCAGGACTGCTGACGCACAGGTAGAGCAGACTGAGGCTCATTAGTTCTGTGTAAAAGTCGGAGCTAATCAAATATGGTTTACTCTATGATTTTTATTTTCTCAATGGACTTTTAATTACACATCATTTTTTTTATCCTTTAGCAAGTGCTCTGGGTGGGCAAAAATAACACTGAGTGCCTTTCAAAGCTGGGAGCTTCTCCTGGGTGCTGGGCTGGAGGCCTGGGCTGCTATGTAAGCAGTCCCACTGCCCCTCAGCTAATGCATGAGCTGAGGGAAACACTCCAGCTGCTCTCCAGCTCTCCTAGTGTGCAGTACTCCTGCTGGCATGACCGTCCCAAGCCCACAAAGCACCCACTTCAACACCACCTGACTGTAACTGCTGAGAAATCCCAAAGCCAGTTACTCCATCACCGGCAGGAGCAGAAGAGGCCAATGATCACGAAAGACCAGACTCAAGACCTTTTGGATTCTTCAAGGAACAGAAATCCCCCAACTTCCTTTGAGCCCTCTGCCAGCAGAAGCCACAGTCCTCTCTATTCGAGATTGATCCTCCTCCACCTTAAGATACTACGACTGGCACCTCCCCCATTCTATCAGTCACAGCATCTAGACAAATTCACACTTGGAAGGCACTGAACATTTTAATTTATACAGAGGAAACCTGGGGATCAAAAAGATGTTAAAGGTGTTAAACCAGAGACAAATGGGATCATAACTGAAATCAGGCTGAGCCCCTAGGAGAGGTCTGATCCACAATGCTAATTCAAACAGCTGGGGATGGTTCTAAATAATGTGCTCAACTACATGACTAAACTTGGACTCAAATGTGGCCGAAAACTAAGCAAAGTTGAGATACCAGAAATTCCTCCTGTAATGTGAAGGAATCCAACATTCCGAATGGAGAGATTTGCTGATTTATTGTTTGCAACCTGCTCACCCACCCCAACTTTGTCATCCAGAGGCCCTAAGGGTTGCTCCCTCCATCTTGGCTTTGAGAAGCACAGTGCACATGGGAGAAGCAGCATCCTTGAAAAGGACTGTTATAAATGTGCCGTGTAATAGGGAAAGCTTGGGAGGGAGGACTTCGCTGTAGCTTTGGAGCTTTTGGATTACAATGGAGATGATGAGACCCAAGGCCACAGAGACCTGCCAATGGCACGGGAAGCAGAATGGGCATGGTGATGACAGCAGACACAGGCAGCCAAAGTCATGCTAGAGCAGCTGGACCAGCACGGACTCTCAGTGTTGGCTGACTGATCACAACCAAAGCAGACAGGCAGCCACCAACGGTCAATCCTGCTCTATGTAACACTTTAAAAAGTAGCTGAGTTTCTACTCAAGATGCCACCTCTCACCCAGTTCCTATCCCTGAATTATCTTCAAAGACACAGTCTCTTAAACACCATAAAGGAGGACAATTCCCACTTAGAAAGGACCATGTGATAATGTACCAAGTGCATAACAAAATTCTTTTCTTCTTTTTTTTCCCCCTTTGGTTTTTCGAGACAGGGTTTCTCTGTGTAGCTTTGGAGCCTGTCCTGGAATTCACTCTGTAGACCAGGCTGGCCTCGAACTCACAGAGATCTGCCTGCCTCAGCCTCCTGAGTGCTGGGATTAAATGCGAGACCACCACCTTCCGGCAAAATTCTTTTCTTCTGTTCAGTAACCATTACTAGGTATTTGTATCCTGGGAAAATGGCAATATCTCCTCTTTCAGATTTAGTTTTTGGTTAATGCTAATCCTTTGGAACTTAAAGAACTTGTAGGAGTCAGTCCATTTCAGAGTAAGCCTAGTAAGTATCCAAAGCCACCAATGATTACTACCCTAGTTCCTGAACACACAGCAAGCTAGATATAATGAGTAGCCAGCAGAACCCCTCAGGGGTGTGACTCCAGCAAAGAGAGCAAAGCAATGGTCCCTGTGGCTTCACCTTTCCATTTAAAGGAATAAACCCGGCAGCACTGCATGTCTACAAAGGCCACAGAGCATTCTGTCTAAACTTCAGAGAAGCTAAAAGTGTGTAGGGTACAGTTAACCCATCCATTTAAACTAAGAACATGCATAGTTGCTGGAAAGCACCATGGATTACTATAAACAATATAGGGTGGTACTGAATATAGCTACTGTCCAAAACACGATCTCTTTTCTGAAGCCCTGGCCCTTCTCTCTATCTATCTGATGGCTACATACTGTCAGATCAGAGCACAGTGAAAGTACACTTGTCCTAGCCTGCCTGAGAATGACATGAACTTCAGGCTTTGATTATCTCACCAGCCCATCAGACCTCATCAGTCAATAGCCTTGATGATAATATACTGATAGAATTTATGAAACCAAGATAAAAAAATTGTGTCAATGTCAACCAAAAACCAACTGAAAATCAACTGCTGTATGCCATAGCTTATTATGAGAAATTGTGTTAATGTCAACTAAAAACCAACTGAAAAATCAACTGCTTTACACCATAGCTTACTATGAGAAAATGCTCAACTTATAAAAATTTTCTTCATAATTTACCTATTTTTGTTTAGCAAGGAATTTACCTATTAACTAAAACAAGTAGTTATGGTTTTAATCTTAAATGTTGCATATGAGCTCTTGTTTTTAACACTTGTCCCAGCTATAAGCACTATCTTGGAACCTTTAGCAAACAGGGCCTTTGAAGGGGCTTGTTCACCTGGAACAGCTCGCCCCAGCTGAGAAAGCCCCATTCCTGCCTCCCCCAAACCTCGCCCTCTCAGAGAAACCAGCAAAAGCCCAGTTCCGAGGTGGTGGCCCAAGACTCCGCCCAAAAGCTTATCATAGCAAGAACCCACCTTCGGGCACGTCATCATCCCGTTCCCCGACCGGGTATTTAAAGCACTCCCTTTAGAATGGGCATGTGATTTCTCTCCTGCTCCCTTTCCAGAGAGTCACCGGGAATGCTCTGCTCACATTAAACCTAGTCCTTTACTCTTTAGTGTGACTCGATTTGGCTTACTGCATCGGTGGAAATACCTACTCCTGGGATACAAAAAAAAAAAAACCTATCAGGGATACCCAGCCTGATCTGGGCATCATTCTGCTTCCTGGTGAAGCACTTCTGCCTCT